CTTCAATCACATGCTCGTGATCATGAAAGTCAAACTTGCATTCTTTGTTTGCAACGACCCAAATTCTTATAGTCTAAAGAAACAAACACTCGCAATTAACATAGTAAAAAGGAAAAATGTCACAGGTCACAATTGCAGATTTCATGTTTGTTGATATAACAAAATAATTCATTGACAATAATTCGTTTGTTACAATGTAAGTTTAATCAAGATGGCGGGCTATGATGTCATGTGCAAACGAAGAATAGACCTCTCTACCTTAGGCGCAATGTTGTCCCATTTCAGATCACTGTCATACCCTAGAGTATTATTTCTTTGTTTAACAGTTGCGCATGAGAAGACGTGAATATATGGATAAACTCAAACAAAGAATTTTATTCTCAAGGGAATAACATGTGGTCTGAAATGGGAAAACATTACACCCACAGTAGAGGTCTATTCCCCTTTTTTGTTTGGTCTTGGGTATCAATAGACCTCCTCAGCTCTGATGTAATGTTGTCCCATTTCAGACCACGTGTCATTCCCTAGAGTATCATTTCTTTGTTTAAAGTTTGCACTTGGTTGCACATGAGAAGAATATAGATACAACTTGGTTGCACATGAATATGGATACAACTCAAACAAAGAATATTATTCTCAAGGGAATGACACGTGGYCTGAAATGGGAAAACATTACGCTTGAGCGGTCCAGAGCCTATTAGCATCCCACATAATACTGTAGTTATAGGTTTTAGAAGATAGAGATTACGGGTTTACCTGGTCATTGGAACAACTTGCTAAAAGAGAACCTGGAATAATAAATAATAAAATACAATCAAATATATTAAACCAAATTCAAGTAGGCCAATATCTATATTATTCAGCAGGGAAGAAGTAAATAGCCATTGCATATAATTTTAGATGTGAATTGAATAAGGATGTAAATTTTCTTTATTTCTACATAATATTTTGTTTGAGTTCCCAGTACTCGGTTGCACAGTGGTAGTGTGCTTCCTCAGAGGTCTTATGTTTGATTCCTAAACTTGTTATCACACACACGTAGAGGTTGTTAGGTCTCTCCCCCTTATTCGAGGGTTTTCTCCGGGTTCTCTGGTTTTCTTCCCTTCACAAAACAAACTAAATTCCAATTCGTTCTGAGAGATATTTTAGCTGTGCCCACACATAAGTAGAGTTTATTAAGTCTCTCCATTGATTCTTGTGGTTGTCTCTGGGTTCTCTGGTTTTCTTCCCTCCACAAAACAAACTAAATTTTAATTTGTTCTGAGAGGTATTATAGCTGTGCCCTGACCTTGATTAGCTCAGAGGTTGTTTAAGGGT